TCATTGCCTCTAATTTAATTTTTAAAGTAGGTTTAGCAATATTAATAGTGAGGCAAGCATGTTTTAATAATAGTGTTTATAGGAATTTCTGAATAATTATACTTTAAAAAACTTATTAATATGGTGTAATTTTCCATTTTTTTGTTTGTGTTCCAAATTAGTTTTCAACTCATTTGTCTTAATAAAATAGCATTTCCTATCTTATAACCTCAGTTTTGGAGTAGTCCACTAAAGGTAATGGCTATATTATGTCAATGAATGTATTATTACATAATTATTAAGTAAGTTATTGAATGAACTTCAGTGAAATATATTATTCAATTGTTTGTATATTTTACAACAGCTGGATTTTTGCATCATATAGGCCAAAATATTTGGATAACTGTTTAGTTTTTAATCATTTTTAACACAAGGTGAATATAACTAAAGTCAAATGTAGAACATCTCACTCCTTGTTTATTTTGTACTATTAGGAATTCTAGAGGGAGAAATGATTGGTAATGATATGATTTGATGGATTCATAATTGTTCAAATGTTATGAATATTTAAAGTGAAGGGAATATGTGAGATGATATTTGGTGTCTTCAAATATTTCATGGGTTTTCAATAGGTCAACACTTAGGGCAGCTTTAGGAAGAATTTTGTAAGAGAAACAATGCCTACAATGTATAAGGTATCATGATTAGTACTTTCACATACATTGTATCCTGAAATAATTACAGCTTTTTGTAACTGTTTTCATTTTGAAAGAGAAAAGTGGGTAATATGTTCATAGGGTAATATGTTCATAGTTGTGATTTTAGTCTTTGTCTAGAAGACTTTAAAGTACTACCTTTGTTGATTGTAAGGCTCTTATCAATCTATATGTTAAGGCAATTCATGAATACTTAGTAAAGATATCCTAGAGGATAAAAAAGTATCATTGGGTGCTAGGGGAGGCGATGATTCTCACTTTTAAATACATATTTTCTAGGAAATTTTAGAATGTTGCCCATTTTTTTCTACGTTCTTTCAGAGTTTAGTATTGGCGCCTTATGTAGCTTGGCTGTGTCCTCACCCAAATCTCATCTTCAATTGTAGCTCCCATAATACCCACATGTTGTGTAGTGGGAGGGAAACAGTGAGAGGTAATTGAATCATGGGAACAGGTCTTTCCCATGCTGTTCTGGTGATACTGAATAAGTCATATGAGATCTAATGGTTTTATAAAGGGGAGTTCCCCTGCCTGCCATTATGTAAGATGTCCCTTTGCTCTTCCTTCATCCTCTGATATGATTGTGAGTCCTCTCAACCATGTGGAACTGTGAGTCCATTAAATGTTTTCCTTTATCAATTACCTAGTCTCAGGTATGTCTTTATTAGCAGCATGAAAACAGACTAATACAGCATCCATGATAATTGTTGGAGGTAGAACTATATTTATTTATTTATTTATTTATTTATTTATTATAATTTAAGTTCTGGAGTACATGTGTAGAACATGCAGTTTTGGTACATAGGTAAACATGTGCTATGGGAGTTTGCTGCATCCATCCCCCCATCATCTACATTAGATATTTTCCCTAATACTATCCCTCCCCAATCCCCCCACCCCCTGCTATCCCTCCCCTAACCCCATCCCCCAACAGACCCCAGTGTGTGATGTTCCCATCCCTGTGTCCATGTGTTCTCATTGTTCAACACTCATGAGTGAGAACATATGGTATATAGTTTTCTGTTCTTGTGTCAGTTTACTGAGAATGATGGTTTCCAGCTTCATCCATGTCCCTGCAAAAGACATGCACTCATCCTTTTTTTATGGCTGTATGGTGATGCCATTACTGGATATATGCCCAAAAGATTATAAATCATTCTATTATAAAGACACATGCATAAGTATGTTTGTTATGGCAGTGTTCACAATAGCAAAGTCTTGGAACCAACCCAAATGCCCATCAATGATACTGGATAAAGAAAGTCTGGCACATGTATACCATGGAATACTAGGGAGGACTGTATTTCTTGGAAATACATGTACATAAACAATAACAGATGCTGAATTTTCTAGACTATACTAAGATGGTAACAACCTGTAACTAAGAAATTGACCATACTAATTTATAGGATGTTCCATTTCAACATACTATCAAGAAAAAATGAAAATCCTTGTATGATAACACTAGAAAAATGTAGCATTAGAATCTCAATCTGAACTTTCTCACTTTGATCATTGCATTGACCAAAATATATGGAATAAAAAATGTCTTTATTATAGAATACTTAGTGATTTTTCTGAAAATTTCATTTACACTATGAGATATGAGACATTTCATAGACTGAGATAGCCCTAGGTGAGAGTCCTCACTTTGGTATTTAGCTATATGACCTTGCCCAAGGTTAGTAGATCTTTCTTTGTACTTGCATTTTTGTAGAACTGAAATAGAAACATGTATTTATTTTGTTTGATTCTTAAGAGAATTGATTAAATTAGCACATATTTTATGGTAGCTGGCACACAGTAAGTGCCTAATAAAAGTTATTATTACACAAAAGGAAATGCTGTTCTCATTAGTAATATGACTATACAGGCAATAAATTTTCTCTGGGGAATGATAATTTAGGTTGGAATTTTAGCTGTTACTATGCTTTTTATGCTAAAATAAAGACAATCGAAGTACTATTTTGGTCAACAGTATATTTTTAGGGGGAGTTATGGTGATACTTTGAGGCATTTCTATTTTGCTACCATAATGAAATAATATAAAATGTAATTACAGAATTCAGATTCATTTTTCATAATGCATCTTTACTACAAAGAAGGAAACATGATCAGAGCTGCAGGAACAATGAAGTGTTTTAGCCTACACAGTTTACTTAGCAGTATATTGTGCCTGTATTTACTGATATGTGTGTAAAAGACATATATATGAATATATATATGCAGAATATGTATATATTCAAATAAGTATGTATAGATGAACATTTATTATATTATTTTCATAACAACAAAATCCCAGACACTTGCACTTTTTCAATTGGGATAGTTTACAAGCAGATTATGCATATGGTAGATATGTGCTGATGGAATGGATGGATTCTTGCTAGAAGACAGAAATTGAATGAATGATCTTAAAAATGTTAAAGAAACAGGGCACAACAGAGCAAATGATTCTGATATATGTACAAAAATTTACACATGTGCGCATGTACACACACACACACACACACACACACAATTTCTGAAAGAATGTTCTATAATGTAAAATTGGTTTTCTCCTAGGAGGATATCTTACTTTGGAAGGAGATGTACTTTTGGATTTCTGATATTTTTATGCATATATGAATGTGAAAATTAGCTTAAAATATATTCATGGAAGGAAATAAATGAAAAGGCAAACAATTGCTGTATCAACATGGTTGTCATATGATTGATTTATATTTATATGTGTGTATGTGGTCTGTCCTAGTTATTCTAAAATGCTATAATAAACATAATTTTCAAAAAGATTCAGCACTGATTGACAGATTTAGATAAATGATTGAAATATAGAAGCTATAATTTAATTTATTTAATGGTACAATTTATTGATTTTTAGTATTTCTGACAATGTCAGTATTAAATTAAACAATAGCATAATTTTCCTTTTTAAATAAGTGTTTAATATTGAGTATCTTAACACAATATAATCAGTCTTTTTAATTTTGACTCTATAAGATCATTCATATATCTTTACAAATGGAGGCAGCAGAAATAATATACTAAACTCAAGTTTTTGTTGTTTCACCTTAGGTCTGTTTTTTATTATTATGATTTGGAAATTTATTATCTCTCACTTTTACTTCTGCAGACAAAATAAGTCATAAAGTCAAATTACAATACTTTTATTCATTTCAAGAACATTTTTAAAATTCAGCCTATTTCTGCATTAAAAATATCAGTGGTTGGCTGGGCATGGTGGCTCATACCTGTTATTCCCTGTATTTTGGGAGGCAGAGGCAGGCAGATCACAAAGCCAGGAGTTTGAGACCAGCCTGGCCATCATGATGAAACCCTGTCTCCACTAAAAAAAAAATATATATATATATATATATATATATATATGGAAAAAAAAACAATACAACAATGAGCATGGCATGGTGTCACATGGCTGCGGTCCCAGCTACTCTGGAGGGAGGCTAAGGCAGGCGAATTGCTTGAACCAGGGAGGTGGAGGTTGCAGTGAGCCAAGATCATGCCACTGCACTTTAGCCTGGGTGACAGAGCAAGACTCCCTCTCAAAAAAACAAGCAAACAAACAAAACTTAGTGGTTGAATATCAATTGGTACTATTACATAGATCTTATAGGAAAGAAAGTTAAACGTCGTGTCTCATAGAGCCAAGTTAACTATGCTTTAGAGGAAAATGAAAAGCTCAGAAAGAGGTAGAAATCAGAAATCAATAATCTTCTGCCATAAAGTTAAAAAATAAATGACATGCCTATGTATTTCTTTCATAGACATATATGTTGCAATAGACAGATTTTCTCTATTGAATAAAATACAGGAAAAAAAAATCAGTGGTTTAATGTCAATTTGTACTATTACATAGATCTATTAGCTTCATCAGGGTAGGGGTTTTTCAGGTTCATTCACTGCTATATTCCAAGTGTCATGTGCCTGTTAAACAGTAGGTGATGCTTAAATAGGTGTTAATTTATGCAGTGTTTTAACATTAGACTGCAAGTTGAATTAATTTAAATATGATGAAATTGAGCTATGGAGCTTATGATTAAATTATCCTGTTTTGATAAGAAAGCTTATTTCAAAAAGGAAAAGAGAATGCTAATATATTTATTGAAATCACAATATGTTGCACATTCCACTGGAAAGCTTTATCATGCTAATATATTTAAATCCTATTGTATGATAGTCCTGCTGTAATTTGAGATTGATCGCCCAGTTAACAATCACTATATTGTTCAAAGATACTTCATAAGCATTTTTTGATACACTCTTTTTTTGTGCTTGCCTCCTTTGAAGAACCCCTGTAAGCATTCAGCCAGGTGTTGAGAAGATATGTAGCAGCTGAGAACCCATCTTTTGACACCATCCTCAGAAACCAGCTTTGGAGATGCTTTCACTCTGTCCGTCTTCTGCAGCAGCCAGGCAGAGTGCTGACTCCTTCACAGCAGTGAGGAACTCTTCAGGCTCCAGAAGTAAGTTGATCGCATTCAGTTCAATCATTGTCAATGGTTTTAAAACACTTAAGGGAAGAAAACTAAAAATCTTATTAACTTATATACAAATTAAACCTAGTTATTCATCACTGATTATCTTGTTTCTATTTGAGTCATATATTTCTGGAGATGAAGTGTCTACCACTTTTTGTGTTAATAACCTATATCATTATGGAATTTTCTGGATTTTCTTTCAGGATTTGTGTTTCACATGCATTATCATAATTTATACTAACAACCGTAAGGCCTGGACAAGGAATAGATTAAAATAACAGTGTTTACAAATGAATAAAAAGGTTCAAAATGGCCAAGTATTTTTTCAAGTTTGTTTGGCTAATAAATTATGAAACTGGAATACAATTTCTGGTTTTCTAATTTTTAAAAAATGAGTGCTGTTTCCATGGGTGTGATGCCCAGCACTATACGGAGGTAATAGGCTGGTGCCAGAAAGAGCACTTTTCCTGACTGGTTCATACTTTTGAGCCTGTTGTTTTGCCATGTTTCTAGTTTAACTTTATGTTTGAGGCATTATTTTCTTCTCCTAAATACTTAATGTAGGCATTTCTTGTTGCTCTTGGGGATATATTTATATCACAATGTCACTGCACAGAAAATTGATTGTAGGTGCGCTTTTATAAAGAGCAAAAGTTTGATATAGCTGAAATTGTCTATCAGTGACTGGATGCTTGGCAATTAAAATTTTCTTGAAGTGAACAGGTAAGAGATAATAAATCCACTTTTACTTTGCAATATATTGTATGTCAATGTGCAACATAAATGTATGTTAATAGAAGAATATAAAAAACTTTAGTTAAGAATTTATATCTGAATCATGATGTTACTAATTACATAACATTTAAAATAGGCAGCCAGTATGTTGTTGCTGGTATGCTCAAAGTGATGTAGAAGGACGACTTTCAAGACACATACAAAAATAATGCATCTAGATTATATTGAGGTTAATATTATAACTGTGATGGTAGTATAAAATGATGAATCTGAGTATGCAGATTCATTCAAAACATTATTTTAGTGTAGGTTTTTTTCTTCTTATATTTTATTACTTGGTACTTCTTTTGTAGATGATTTATTCATTTATTTTAGGAATTGCTTTTGTTGCTTTTCTTCTTTAGCTTTTCATTAAATGAAGCAACTTGAGGCATGCATTCTAAATTTTCTGTGATTTACATTTCTTAAGGAGACAGAGGACCCTGTCCAAGCCTGAGGTGATTTCATATACTGTGAAAATGTAAAAATGAATAGTTTGTTTCTCTATGACAACCCCACAAGAAACTCCTGAGATTTTATCTTCCCAAACAATTAGTTAATTAATGATTTTAGTTTTGTTTTGTTTTCCACTGGTGAGGCTTTTTGTAGATAAAAGCATTTACTTTACGAAAGCTATTAGCCAAGAAACTATATTAGCTGATGGAGTCTCTAGTGTAAATCACAAAACTAAGCAAATTCAAACACATTTTCATTTACTAATTGCTAAAATCAAGGCCACAGGATTTTCTTAATTAACCTGGAAATTAAAGGATAACCAGAAATAATTTATATATTGAAAAAAACTCTTCCAAGTTAATGCTTGATTCAGTTTTTTCAATTAGCAGTCCATTAGTGTGGAGAAGCAGTACCTCTTTTTCTCTATTTTTTCTTTGGAGTAACATTAGGTTAAAGTCTCACATGAAATTAATCACCCTGAAAAAAACAGAAAGTAAAAACACATTCCTAATTAGTTCCTCCAACTTCAAATAGTTCATTGAAAATTCATAGCACATCCATTAAAATCCTTTTAAAAATAAATGGAACACCAGGAACTTTCTTAGAGTGAAATAGTGAATGGAGTAGTAGTAGGAAAATAATGATGCAATGGAATATCCACTTGTGATTAAGGCAGGACAGCTGAGGTGGTAATGGCTGTGATTATGATTATTTTTCTCACTGTGGCATTTTTAATTAGCCTTAGACAGTAGAAGAGTACTTTTGTCTGTTTATTTGTTCTCACTTCACAAAAGTATTGATGAATTTAAACAATGCATAATCCTGTCTTAACAGCAAATGTGCCTATAGGTACATGCTTTTGCAAATACATATGTATGTATGTGTATTTAGGTGCATGTATGTGTATGTATATATTTATGTATATATGTGTGTATATAGGTATATACGTGTGTATATATGTAAAGATAATTTACTATACACATAATGATTATAATCATTCTACAAAGCTAATATGCCTTTTAAATATTAAGGTATCCTTAATGACATTAAATATATAATATTTAAGGGATGCTTTTATTTTTCTGAAATGAACTCCCTTATATTTAAAGGTTATAACTTATCACGTTTTGTGACATTATTTGAAAGTGGCTTAACTAGCTATCACAATAATGATCAACATACTATCATTTGACAATTTCTAATACTCTTTACTAAACGTTAATTTATTTGCTATGTATGCCACTCTGTGAGTGAATTTTTCATTTGTCTATTTTCTCAACCATGTGTTAGTCCATTTTTGCATGACTATAAGGAAATACCCAAGGCTGGATAATTTAGAAAGAAAACAGATTAAACTGGCTCAGGAACTGTGGCGCCAACATCTGCTTCTGGTGAGAGCCTCAGGAAGGTAATCATTATGACAGAAGACAAAGGGGGAGCAGGCACATGACATGGAGGGTGGGAGCAGGAGAGAAAGTGGGGAGGTGCTACACTCTTTTTAACAACCAGGTCTCACATGAACTAACTGGCCGTCAACTTACTCATCACCAAGGAACCATTCATGAATTATCTATCCCCGTGATCTAATACCTCTCACTAAACCCTGCTTCCCACACTGGTGATTACATTTTAACATGAAATGTGGAGGGGACAAACATCCAAACTTTGCCATTCCATCCCTGGCCCCCAAAATCACATGTTCTCACACTGCAAAATAAAATTATCACTTGCCAATAGGCCCCAAGAGTTTTTAATCATTCCAACATTAATTCTGAAGTCCTAAATCTCATCTGAGACTCATCTCCTTCCACCTATGGGCCTGTAAGATCAAAATGAGTTATTTGCTCCCAAAATACAATTGTGGTACCAGCACTGGGTAAGCATTAACATTACAAAAGGGAGAAGCTGGCAAAAACAAAGGGATAATAAGCCCCATACAACTCTGAAAACCAGTAGGGCAGGCATTAAATCTAAAAGCTCTTACATAATCTTTGACTCCATGTTCCACATCATGTTGTGAAGGATGGGCTTCCAAGGACTTGGGTAGCCCTGCCCTGTGGCTTTGCAGGACATAGCTCACAGAGCTGCTCTCACAGGTTGGAGTTGTATGCTGTGGCTTTTCCGAGCAAAGGGTTCAAGCTGCCAGTGAATCTACCACTCTGGGGTCTGGAAGACAATGGCTTGCTTCCCACAGCTCCACTAGGCAGTGTCCTAGTGGAGACCCTGTATGGGGTCTCCCTGCTTTCCTTCAGCGTTGCCCTGGTAGAGTTTCTCCGTGTGGTGCTCCACTCCTGTGGCAAGCTTCTGCTTGGGCTCCCAGGCTTTCCTATGCATCCTCTGAAATCTAGGTGGTAGCCAAAAAGGCCCCTTTACTCTTGCATTCTGAGCATCTGTAGATAAACAACATGTGGACACTACCAACGCTTATGGTTTTTACTTTCTGGAGCTGTGTCTTGAGCTGTATTTGGGCTCCTTTGAGCCGTGACTGTAGCTGAAGCAGCAAGTATGTACGGAGCAATATCCCAATGCTGCCCATGGCAGTGCGGGCTTAGGCCTGGTCCCTAAAACCATTCTATTCTCCCAGGCCTCTGGGCCTAGATCTCCTTGTCCGGAGGCCCAGGAGAATAGAAAGGTTTCAGGACCAGGCCCAAATCCCTTCAAGGCATTTTCCCTATTGTCTTGGATGTCAGCACTTGGCTTCCTTCTAGTCATATACACCTGTCTAGAACATGGTTGCTCTGTAGGTTGTTTATATTATTTCTCTGTCACTTGGCCAGTTTGCAAATTTTCCAAACTTTTATTCTCTGCTTCCCTTTAAAGCATACATTCCAACTGTAAATAATTTGCTCCTGTATCTAATTTAGGCTGTTAAAAGGAGCCATGCCACTTCTTGAACATTTTGCTGCTTATAACATTTTTCAGCAAGACACCCTAAGTCATGACTTTTAATTTTAAACTTTCACAGATCCCCAGGACCTGGATGCAATGCAGCCAAGTTATTTTCTAGGGTGTAACAGAGAGGACTTTTACTTCACTTCCCAGTAACTTTCTCATTTCCATCTGAGACCTTGTCAGCGTGGTCTTCACCATCCCTATCTCTGTCTGCATTTTGATCACAACCATTTAACCAGTCTTTAAGAATTCTAAACTTTCCCTCATCTTTCTATCTTCTTCTGAGATCCCAAAGTCTTCCAAACTCTGCCTATTACTCAATTCCAAAGCCACTTTCACATTTTCAGTTATCTTTATAGCAATGTCCTGCTACTTAATACCAATTATCAGTGTTAGTTCATTTTTTATCACTTTAAAGAAATGCCTTAGACTGGAAAATGAATAAAGAAGAAAGGATTAATTGGCTCATGATTCTCTAGATTGTGGGAAGTATGGTGTCAGCATCTGCTTTTGGTGAGGTCCTCAGGAACTTATAATAATGGGAGAAAATGAAGCAGGATACAAAGGGTCACATGATGATAGTCGGAACAAGAGAGCAAGCAGGGAGATGCCACCTCTTTTTAAACAACCAGATCTTGTATGAACTAAGAACTCACTCATCGCCAAGGAAATGGCACTAAGCTATTGGTGAGAAATCCACCCTCATGATCCAAACTCCTCCCACTAGGCTTCATTTCCAACACTGGAGATTACATTTCAACATAAGTTTTAAAGGAGACAAACATACAAACCAAAGCAAATCTGAGATATTTTTTCATGGTTAATATCTTTAGGTGTATATGTCTATGCTTGAAATCATCCTA